TCCCAGCTGCTCCACTTCCGATCCAGCTCTCTGCTATGGCCTGGGAAAGCAGTAGAAGATGGCACAACTCCTTGGGCCCCTGCACCTGCATGGGAGACCTGGAACAATCCTGAAGAGAGTTGTGGATACAAATAGTCTTCGAGTTAGGAAATTTGACTGGGGCAGAAGAAATAAACCAGAGTATAAGAGATTAGGTGAGAGGAACATACTTCGCAGTTTTTGTGTGGAACTATTTCAGCCAATGACATTTCAGATGTGACTCTGGGAGTGAAAGGATGAGGTAGAAAAACAAAAACTTTGCTTGTAAGAAAGAGATCCAGCTGAGGTATAGAATGGGCTGTGTGTATGGACATTGTCCAGGATCATGGTTACACTGAGGCTGGAAGGGATATCACTAATCCAGGAATCATTCTTTGGAAGGATGCTTGGTGACTGCAGATTAGCAGGTAGATGTTCCCCACAGAAGGGGAGCAGTATGTGATTAGATAGCAGGAATATCAAAGCAGCAGGTACTTTTCCCAAGGAGTTAAGGATGCAAGGAGCAGCAAACAGGACAAGGGGCTATCAATGTGAAGACAGCTAGAGTGTGGGGGAATAGGCAGCCAACATCACATGCTGAAGTGTCATCTTCAGTGGGAAGTAGAATTTTGGTTGAGAGAGGAAGGTAGAGACCATGAGAACAGAAAGTTGAATATGCTCTAAAGCCTAAAAGCCATGGAGCAAGTTCTCAATACAGACGAATATTTGAGAGATGGGAAAGGGGAGAAAGAAGGGAGAGAGTTGGGGATATTTGATGGCAAAGAAGAGTGGAACATTCTGGGACCTTTTTTTTGTAGCTGAAAATAAATGCCTTGGTATGATGCTTAGGATGTGGTATGGGAAGGAGGAGCTAAGTAAAGAAGAAGGAAAGAGTATGTCAGAGTCAATAACCTAAAAGACACCTAATCCCTTTCAGATTAGGAGCTAAGGAAAGGAGCCCGGCTGTGATAAGCAGAGCATAAGAGAAGCTAGCACTCTGACAGGGCTTCACTGGAGCAGACTCCAGGGTGAGGCCTGCCTCTAGGAAAATGGGAAGGGGTTCTTAACAGCCTAAGTGGTAATATGCTTATAAAACGTTCAATCTGCCAGGGGTTTGTAGCAGGCAACCCAGTGCTTTTGTAATACTTGACCCATTCTTATCAAGTGTTGATTTTTCTCTCCTTAAGCTCTCATGCCAATGGTTTCAGGTTTAAAGATTTAAAAAAATTCAGTATTTCTTCTTTGCAGTCTAGGATTTATTATGATATACATAATTTTCATTAAGTCTTCAATTTTCTCATCAATGTTTTAATATTTTTGATTGAATTTGGTAAAAAGAAGCATGAAACTATGTTTTTTCTTTAATCTTGCTTATTTCTCACTACTGGGAAAGTATGACTTAATATTAACCCAATAACTTGAAAAAATCATATATTTTCCAAAGGAATCTAATTCAAAATAAGAAGTACTTTGGTTCTTGTTAATTCTGCTTCTTTCTAAAACCTATATGATAACATAGACCTGCCAATATGTTAAAAAGATTCTTGCTGCAGCTGGCGTTTGTGGCACAGTGGGTTAAACCACTGACTACCAGCATCCCATATCAGAGTGCCAGTGCACATCCCAGCTGCCTGCTTCTAATCTACTTTGTGGCTAATGCATCTGGGAAGCCAGCAGAACACGGTCCAAGTATCTGGGCCCCTGCCACCCATATGGGAGACCTGGATGCAGTTCTGGGATCCTGGTTGTTGCAGCCATTTAGAGAATGAACCAACAGATGGAATCTCTCTCCCTCTCTCCCTTACTCTCTCTCTCTCTCCCTCTGTCTATCTCCCCCTCCCCTTCCCTCCCTATCATTATGCCTTTTCAAATAAATACATTTTAAAACTAATAACAAAATTCTTCTTCCTGGGTCAAATGAAATATGGTAGTTCATGTATAGTTTATACCAACATCAAAGTTGATTTTCTGGGGGCATCCTTTGTCTATAGAAAAGGAATTTGGGAATTATCTACACTTAGCACACTCTATTTTAATACTCCACTTAAACTACTTAAGAAATTGTGTTTTTTTTATTTTTAAGATAACATTTTCAATATGCGTTATAGTCAAAGGCTTAACTCTCCACTAAACGGTTTGAAATAGCAAAAATGACCATAGTTTATCAGGAACAAAATATGTAGTGTTTTGTCAAACTTTGTTTGGAATCTTTGTCAATCAAATGGTTAGGAGTTAGTGTAGTTTTGAAGATCTGTGACTATCCTGAAATTTATTGTATATTGGTGAAGTTGACATCTTTTCATTTGGTTGTTGTTTATGGCCCTTGCCTGTTTTAACAATTTAAGAGTCTGAGAGTGTGTGATATTTATATTTGTATTCTTACACCACACCCTGCATCTGAGACAATATACATAAATAATTGTTGAATGTATCAGTTCCCTATTTCCACACAAAGCAGCATGACCACTAAAAAACCTTTATAACCCAAATTGCATTCACTTAGGCGGTTGAATTAAACTGACTTAAATTGGTTTCAGATAATCTAGATTGGTTTTGCCCAAGTATCTGGGACTTCTCTGGGTGCTGGTTGTCTCATCTTAGACAAACGGAGTAAACCAACTTTTATTCCATCTCATGCTCAACCTACAGCATGCTAGTCCAGTCATGGTTTTAATGGCATAGCGGCCCCATGAGAAGGAGCAAAACCAATTATGCAACCACCTTTCAAACCTCTTTTTATGTCAATATTCTATTTGTCCCAAGAAAGTTACATGGATAGGCCAGAAGGGAACTGAGAGATTGCACAGAAAGGACATAGACACAGAGAGCAGAGAAGAATTGGGGCCATCAGTGCAGCCAGTCCGTCACATTGTAGAACTGAACATGTTAATCATGGAATGTCTTAATCAGTACCATGCCAGAGTTGGAGGACATCCCCGAGGCTTGGCACTGTTCATTTTGTTAATTTGGGTGAATTATTTAATCATCCTAGATGCTAATTTCCTTACTTACCCTTTGTAAGTTTTAAAAACCTTTGATTCTATAAAATCAGGCTTTTAATTAATTTAATGCTATACTGTCTGCAGAAGGAACTTTAAAGTAATCTATTAACTAACTTATCTTTTAGCGAATCAAAATGACTAGTGTGAGGAGCAGGCATTATGGCACACCAGATAAAGCCACTGCCTGGGACTCTGGCATCCCATACGGGTACTGGTTTGTGACCTGGCTGCTCCACTTCTGATTGAGCTCCCTGTTAATGGCCTGGGAAAAGCACTGGAAGATGACCCAGGTGCTTGGGCCTCTGACACCTGCATGGGAGGTCTGGCTGAAACTCGTGGCTCCTGGCTTTGGCCTAGCCTAGTCCTCGCTCTTTTGGACCAACTAGGGAGTGAGGATCTCTCTTTCTCTTTACCTCCCTCTCTCTCTGTAAATCTGCCTTTCAAATACACTAAATAAAATCTTTTCTTTTTTTAAATTTTTATTTAGTAAATCTACATTTCCAAAGTACAGCTTATGGATTACAATGGATTCTCCCCCCACCCCATAACTTCCCTCCCACCCGCACCCCTCCCATCTCCTGCTCCCTCTCTCCTTCCATTCACATCAAGATTCACTTTCAATTCTTTTTATATATAGATGATCAATTTAGCATATATTAAGTAAAGCTTTCAACAGTTTGCACCCACACAGAAACATAAAGTGAAAAATACTGCTTGAGTACTAGTTATAGTATTAATTCACATTGAACAACACATTAAAGACAAGGATCCTACATGAGGAGTAAGTGCACAGTGACTCCTGTTGTTGACTTAACAAATTGACACTCTTGTTTACGGCGTCAGTAATCTCCCTATGCTCCAGTCATGAGTTGCCAAGGCTATGGAAGCCTTTTGAGTTCACGGACATCGATCTTATTTAGACAAGGTCATAGTCAAAGTGGAAGTTCTCTCCTCCCTTCAGAGAAAGGTACCTCTTTCTTTGATGGCCTGTTCTTTCCATTGAGATCCCACTTGCAGAGAGCTTTCATTTAGATCCTTTTTTTTTTTTTTTTGCCAGGGAGTCTTGGCTTTTCATGCCTAAAATACTCTCATGGGCTCTTCAGCCATATCCAAATGCCTTAAGGGCTGATTCTGAGGCCAGAGTGCTGTTTAGAACATCTGCCATTCTATGAGTCTGCTGTGCATCCCACTTCCCATGTTGGATGGCCAAAATTGACTGGCTAGTTTTGACTTGATGAGTCTTCATATATATACAGGATAATACCATTCTAGTTTGAATTTTGGTATGAAGAAAAGTGCTAAGATTTTAATTTCCCATTTAAGTCTTCAGTTTTTGCTACTATCTCATGATTCTTTTTAAACACACAACGTGTCAATAAAACATCAAACACTATTCCATCTCTTAAATGTGAGATGAATTACAGGGGCCATTATTGCCATGTGTAAATAATTCATTATTATGGTGAATTATTATTCTTAAAATGACTAGAGGAGCTTTATTATGTTTGCATAATGCTGATAAAAATGGATTATTTTTAGAGTAGTTGTTATTGGTTTGTTTATATACAGGGTATATATCACACAAAAATGAAACCTGATCTTCATTAAATTTAAATTAAATTTCTATATAATTACATAAGAAGTAGAAAAGTACAGGATTATTTAACCATAAAATTAAAAATGAAAAATATTTTATAAGCTTCACAAGAAAACAGTAATATACACAAATGGTCTTTACAGATGATTTTCTGTGTTTAAAACTTCTTATTCTGTTCATTTTGATTGCCTGAAAAATTCCACAACTAGATTACTGAAATATATTGGGAACAAATCATTTGTAACTTGCTTTGGCTTCTAGAATGTTCTATTTCAGGTGCCCAGAAATGATATGCCACATGATATTGTCATACATCTGGGAAGCATTTCTTTTGGACTGATAATTTATTTGTGAAATCAATCACTCTGCTTTTATCATTTCAGAGACACCGTGTAGCAATATCTAAGAAACTTCACTCAAATCAAGGTGGCCTGGATTCAGGAGTACTGCCTGGTTGTCAGAGTCATTTGACTGATGTGGCGAGAGAGAAGAAGAAACAAGGGGCACCACAGTGTCAGGCATCAGTGTGACTACAGGTCAGATATTCCACAAGATAGTGCTTTTAACCACCTGCATGAAACAGGCACAGTATCTGGATCCTTACTACCATTTTGTTTGGAATGTATGTGTCATCCAAAGTGACCAGCTGCCCTGCAAATCACTGAAGTGAAGTTTTAAGTGAGGCCTGGTACTGAATACTCATAATAAAAAAAAGACTATTTCCTGTTATTAGATTTTCTCTCTGTTATGGTTTTCATGCACAAGGAAATATTGTAAGATTGCTTGAATTGTGATGATTATAAGATTTTGGTATTTTTCCTGGGAAATATGAGCAAAAAGCATAAATGGCTTGAGAAGAGGTTAAATAGTTGTGATGATTTTAATTTAAAGAAGTGTCAAAAGTAATCAAGTGTAGCTTTGAATTATGTTGTTTAGTTTGTAGATATGGTGATCTGATTTTTTTTAATTTCTACCAAGGGCAAAACAAGAACAAATGGACATGTGGAGGAATTGATAGCATTATATTGAGCTACCCAGACTAACTTCCTCATGGTGGAAATCTGGGATGAGTTAGCAAGGGAAATAAGAATTTTCTTTCTTGGCAATATTTTAGACACATGAAACCAGCTCAATTTCTATTACATTTTATCTTTGAAACTTTGCATTTAGTTTGTAGGAAAATTGAAAGTGTAATTATTCTTAAGCATATGGTTTGTTCCTTTTCACTCCTTATATGGTTTTGTCGCTAGCATACTTTTTTCTCCAAGGACATGTAAAAGTCAAAATACTAGATATAAAGTCTCTGAAGTGTTTCTGCTCCAGACTCTGTCTGTACAATCTGGGTTCTTTCATGTAGTTAGCTTACTGGCTTCTGACACTCCTATAAAAATATCCTATAGAGCTTTTCTTATTACCTTTTCATTGACTCTCTCCGAGTGATAAAAAAATGAAATTCTGTAAAGGGCTTTGAAAACTATGCATATTGCGATTCCTCCACATTTCAAATACCAATCAAGTGTGCCTATAAAAGAAACAACCACTGCAGTGAAAATTGCAGCAGTGTGTTGAGTCTCAAGCCATTATTAATTCATTGGAAACTATTTTTTTCTTTAAGATTACAGATCCTAAAAAGTACCAGATAACGCAATTCCTGAGATCAAAGGTTTTGTTTCAATCATAGGGAAACTTGTTATCTTATCTTCCCCTGTGTGTGCATCTTTTGGGTTGGTACTGCTGCAGCTTCAGCTTTGCACTCTGAATGAATAGTGTGGAGTGTATTAGAGACCAGGGCAGCCCCTGCTTCAACAGATTGCCTGTAAGAAGTGATGACTTTAAGGACATAGAATTAAAGTAGTAGTTCTAGGCAAGTGAGATTCCTAACTTCACTCAAGAGAACAACATGAAATCTCCTTTTTTAGGCCAAGCTAATTTCAGTAGGTATTTATTTAGAATTTACTCAGTATTCACATCTGGAGGATATTTTTGCTTTCCTCATCTGTATGTGTAATATATCACAGATTCTTTCCTTGTTTTGAATTGTAATTATGGAACAATTCTATACACAAGCATAAAGAAGTAAAGAAGAACAGGAATACAAGTTTCAAACTTCATTTTCTTTTGAATAATATAGTGTATGTTTCTTCAATTGGAAAAAGAAGACTCATTTGACCCATACTTAACACCGAGAATACTTGATGTGGGTAGCTCTGAATACGACTGGCTTCCTTTGAGTTCAGGATGAGCAAATGAGAACCTTTCTGAGCTTTCCTTTCTTTTCCATGCTTAGACATATGCGCAATCATTTCCTACATTCCCTTTTGGCAAGAGTAGCAGTGGCAGAGCCTTTGCAGGGTATCATAGATTGGGAGGGGAAGAGTGTCAGATTAAGATTGGAGCCTGATTTTAGTCTCTCAGTTAGATACAATGGAAGCTTTCAAATATGGAACTAATAATTATACTAAAAGGATCTCTTTATCTTGGTATTCACTGTGACTCTCAAAGATTTACTGTGAGTGCCTGAACATGAATCCTGTAGTGAGAATTGACTCCATTGCAGCCAGTAGTATAATTCAGGGAGGGTGCTGCCAGTCCCCTGTTCCCCTTCACTAGCAAACTGATGAAAACCCTTGTCCAGAATTCACTGATGGTCTTTCTTTGTGAGTTCTCGATTTTTTTCCGTTTGCTTGGTGACATCAATGTCTTATTTTAGGAATGTTGTTACTAATACTGCACATTGTTTTGTCCATAGATCTCCAAGACAGCAGTTCTTTGAAAATAGGATACATAAGTGGCAGCATGATGAAGTTCAGACCTTTGGAGTCTGAACTGAGACATCTGGGTTTACATTTTGGCTCCCCCCCACCCCTCAGCACTTGGCTTTGATGATCCATCATTAAAGGCTCCTGTGTCTTTATTTATGAAATTGGTCTAATAATAATCTCACCCCATAGAATATTTTGAAGATTATACTAGATCAACTAGGAAAAAAGTTAGGATAGGACATAACAGCCCCCTATAACCTTTCATGATTGAATCTTTCTCAGGAGTTGGTGACTCTACAGTATCTTGATAAGATGCTGGCTGTGGCCCCTGATGTGACTCTTACAGTCTCTGAGTCTGTCTGCACATTTCTTTGCTCTGAGAACTGTATTCTCTTGGGAATGTCATGGCCTTCATGAATGCTGTGAACATAGCAGGGGTGAGAAACTCTCTTGAAGATTTCACTAATTTCTGTGAGTCCAAAAAACTCCAATTGTGTAGAGGCATAGATGCCCTAACTCTAAAAGAGTCATTCCCCTGTTCCTATAGCAGCAGCAGCAGCAGCAGCACAGGAACAGTCACCGTTTAAATAGCTTCAGAGCTATTTTTAGATGATGTGATGTGTTAAAGGGAAATGTTTGCGTTAAGCTAGGTATTGCACGTCCAGTTCCTTGGGTTGATTTGCATGAGGACAGCTGATTGGAAAGCACTCACTGCCAGGAACAATACCACAGCAGGGTTAGCAGAGGCAGGTCCAAGCCGTAGGAGAAGTTGACTCCTGATACAATAATAAAGACTTTCAGTTTGTGCATCCTAAAGGGAGCTCTAGGATTGGCAGGGCTGGGCTCTTTTGAATTGTCCTGAATTGGAGGGTAGGGAAGGAACCTTTATACTCCCAGCATCAGTTAATCATTGGACACAGCTGTCCCTGGGAAAGGCTGCTACTGTTAGGCAAGGTGGTTTCCTTTAGCCAAGGGCAAAGTCATTTGGTCTAAGAGGATTATTATTTAGTTGTGAGGAGGATCTGGTTATTATGTAGGTCACTTATTAATTGCTGCAATTGCCGCCTGGCTAAAAAGGAACTGTTTTCCTTGTGCCTCCTTGTGTGACCTTCTAGAAACTGAAGTCATTGCCAGAAAAGATAACCTTTCAAATATATGCATGTCTGCTTTACATAAATTTTCTCTATTAAGCAAATTTTATACACTCCTAATCCATGTTCTCTTATGTAATAGCCATCCTTTTGAAGCCTCAACTGTATTCTTTGAATTATCCCTACATCTTTATTCTAAATCTGTACCACATTTGTCCTCATAAATTAGGCTACTCAAGTAGTGAGAGGAACTCTGGGCCAGAAAACAAAACGCAGGAGCTCTAAATTCTAGTCTCAGCTCTGCTGCAACCTAGGAATGTAGCCTTTCATAGACCATTGCATTTCTCTGAACTTGGATTTCTTTACCAAAATAGAAAGGACACTAGGTAATCTTTATGCCCTATCAATTCTGAAAGGTTGTTATTTGTGGTGCATTCTCATTAGTGCATTGAGACTATTGGACTCAAACCAGCTCATCTCTAAGTAAGACTCATAGATGATCCACCACACCTGTGATCCGGCTTATTTTGGTAAATGAAACAGGTGAGAGCAAACAAGATCCAAGGAAAGCTCTCCACTGAGGCTAAGGCAGAAGCCAGAAGCCAGAAACCTGAAAATAAGGAGTGGATCTATAGAAAAATAAAGTATTTGTGTTGAGCCTTAGCTTAATCAAAATGTTAAAGCTACACTTCACATTTTACTTGTATGATGGGGAATGAAACATATTGGTTCTGTATCATGACTATTTTTATTATTAGACTGAGCATTCTATATTGAAGACTTTAAATGTCTACATGATATCAAGAGGTAGGTATTTTACATATCATCATAAAACACATTTTTTGTCTGTTTTAATACAAGAATACCTCAATCATTCAGTGTCCCTAGTACTATTCTAAACCCAATAATTACTTATATTCCAAAGACTAGACAATCTGTTATTTAAAATATTGAATGGGATGGGCACATGGGTGGGGAACCTTTTATCTAACGAGGGTCATTTGGATATTTATAACATCACTCATGGGCCGTATAAAATCATCAGTTTAAAAAGTAGCCTGCTATGGGTATTAAATTTCCAATCCTTCCTGGGGTTCCTTTGGCAGAGCTGGATCCAATGTTAAGGCACAATGGCTGGAAGTTCCCCACCCTTGATCTTACATATCAGTTAAGATGCTCACATCTGGGGCTGGTGGAGTGGTACAGTGGATTAAGATGCCGCTTGCAGCCGGCGCTATGGCTCACTTGGCCAATCCTCCTCCTGTGGCACCCCGGGTTCTAGTCCTGGTTGGGGCGCTGGATTCTGTCCCAGTTGCTCCTCTTCCAGTTCAGCTCTCTGCTGTGGCCCGGGATGGCAGTGGAAGATGGCCCAAGTGCTTGGGCCCTGCACCCGCAAGGGAGACCAGGAGGAAGCACCTGGCTCCTGGCTTTGGATCAGCGCAGCGCACCGGCCGTAGTGGCCATTTGGGAGGTGAACCAACGGAAGGAAGACCTTTCTCTCTCTCTCTCTCTCTCTCTCTCTCTCTCTCTCTCTCTCTCTCTGTCTAACTCTGCTTGTCAAAAGAAAAAAATGCTGCTTGCAACATCAGCCTCCCATATTGGATGCCTATTTGAGTCCTGGCTACTCTGCTTCTGGATGCAGTTCTCTGATAATGTGCTTGGGGAGACAGTAAATGCTGGTCC